ACTGACACCACATCGAAGTGTTCGTCATGAGCGGTCTGATGTCCAGCAGTCGCGGCGTCACGAAGCAAGGTCCGTACCAGGCCGACGGAACGATGTTGGTCGTCAAGAACTGTTTTTTGGAGGTGGTGGACATTTGTGGAGGGCTCAACCGCAGCAAAAGCGACGGATATTTTGGACGTGCGGTTGGGACGTACACTACGCGGGCGGATGCGGTCCAAGATGCGCGCGACAATTCGGGGAGTCTCGCGACCGGGGACGACGAGCCTGCCAGGAGCTCCGCCACCAGCCCCAGCCACTCAACAGTTTCAGAGCCCGCCCCGCCCAGCCCAGGCAGCAGCTGTTCCTGGGCTGATGGGATCAGCGACGTCGGCCAGTTCAAGATCGGTGGATCTCGGTTAAACGGCGGCGTCGAGGCCGAGAGGCTCGGGAGCTCCGGCCCGGCGTCCAGCGGCCCCTCGCCCGAGGTTCGCCGCCCCAGGCGCGAGCCCGCGGGGCGGCGGGGTGCCGAGGTGACGAGCAGCGGGGAGCGGTCGCACGCCATCGGCACCTGCAGGCCGTGCATCTACTTCAGGACGAAGGCGGGCTGCGCGAACGGCCTCAGCTGCGGCTACTGCCATCTGCCGCACGCGGTCAAGCGCAGGTCGCGGCCCAGGAAGGCCGTGCGAGACCTGTGCAAGGAGCGGCTGGCGATGCTGGACGACGAGCGCGGGGTCGACGTTGCCGCTGTGCGTGGGCTGGCCGACAACGGCGTCTCAGCCGGCATTGCCCATCAGTACATGCGCAGCATCCTCCGGGCGAGGCACCGGCAGCACGACTCGTTGCAGCGGGCGGCCGAGGCTCCATTTCAGAGCCGCCGCCGGTGATGCGCGCTTGGCCTCGGCGGCCGCTCCCTCTTCGCCCCGCCCGCCTCCCCTCGCTTCGGGTCCGCCTCCGCTGTGCTCCCTTCCTGTTCTCCTGTACGTCCAACGCGTGGGCACGCAGCGTCGACGTCAGAAGGCGCAAGCATTTTTTCGTTGCGGCCGTCGTTCCACATCGCATTGCTTGCCGGCCCTCGCAGGAGGAGTGTCTCCCTCGGACTCTCCCCTCATTCTTCACACTGTCGGCCTGGTGAGAGACATCCGGCCGCCGCGTCGAAGCGCATTCGACTCGACCGTTAAGGATCACACGAGCGGCCAATGTTTGCGGTCTCATCATTGTTGGCAGGATTCTTTGTGGTCGCTTCATTCAGCGTCCAGAATTCCCTTCCCCGGGCAGGGAGGAGAGGGGAGGGAGGGACGGGAGGGGATCAAACAAGAAAAAGAAATAGCCTTGGGACATCTCTCTCGAGCGCCTTTAGGTTTTCAAGAATGGCATGCCGCGGGCACACCCGCTGGTAGTGCGCGCGCGCGCTTGCGCGTCAAGGGACGCGCCCGCCTTGGCCTCTCCAGAGACAGACGAGCGCCTGGTGGACCGCCTTTTCGCCTCCTTCGTGCAGCAGCCCACACTCAACACTTTCGGAGGTCCGCGCGGCCGCGCTTGCACGCCGATCGATGGCGCGCCCAGGACTTCCCCACCGGCCTCTGCAGCCGCAGGGGGCCCGACCGCCGAGCGAGTCGGGACTTCCTCGCCTCTTGCCTGGTCCCCCAGGTTTAGCGGTTCGAGCATCTCGCAAAGAGAGGTCTTCGCCCCAGCCCCCCCCCCTCCTCCTCCTCCTCCTCCTCCTCCTCCTCCTCCTCCTCCTCCTCCTCCTCCTCCTCCTCCTCCTCCTCATCTCATCCATCCTCATCCTCATCCTCCTCCTCCCTCTCTCCTCCGACCTCCTCCTCCTCCTCCCCCTCTCTCCTCCTCCTCCTCCTCCTCCTCCTCCTCCTCCTCCTCCTCCTCCTCCTCCTCCTCCTCCTCCTCCTCCTGTGTTCCGCATTTAAGGGCACCAGGGTACGGAGCAGCGAGACCCAGAGCGATGCCCGAGCTAACGAAAGTCATCGCTGCGCGCGCGCTGCCACATTTCATGGCTTCTCTGGCGGCGCAGTGACTCATGTCGCCGATCCAAGAACTCCCGCGCGGATTGCGGCAAGTTATTGCTCGTGCCGTTGTTTTAAGATGGATCTAGGAGATATGGGAAGGGAGGTGGATCGACGCTGGAACACCCCTGGCGGCGCCTTTGGCGCCGCCCCAGGTGCACTCCGCGCTCCAGGGAGGGGGGTCCAAGCATGTTGCTGCGTGGGTGTCTTCGTGGCCCCATAGGGAGCTCCACCAACTGCCCCAGTGTTACCGCCCGCGTGCGTCCCCCCCACCTAGTACAGCGTCTCGTGTCCCCGTAGGGAGCTCCACCGAAGGGCCCAGCGCTACCGCCCGCATGCGTCCCCCCCACCCGGTACAGCGTTTCGTGGCCCCATAGGGTTACGAAGTTCCAATTTACTTGAGCCTTGATCGCCAGAAAGAATGGCGGACAACAGAACAGTACCGAAACTCGAGGGTTTTCTTCACGCGTGGGGCCCTGGGAGACACTCGTCCGACATTG